TGATTCCGTTCTTCAAATTCGAACTCACTCCATTTCCAACTTCAATTTTCAAGAATTTCCAAATGAGAAAGACAAACAAAGCCATGTTGAAACATCATCTGACCACTAAAATACCTGAATCTCAGCCAACTGACACAATGTTTGCTTTAGATTGAGGTGCTCTCCTCCACCAAGTGAATTGGTTTCTTAGGGTGACATACAGTGACGTGATGGCACAGTATCTGAGCTCTGTGAAGGTGAGGTTCAGACCATCAAGTATCATTTTGATGGGTATACAGGTCTATCCATAAAAGACCATGAACATCTGCGAAGAGCAGCTTAGACTTCTGCTAACATACAAATCGAAGACGGATTTCAAAGTTGCTGTTCATCAAATGAGAAGAACAAAGATCAGCTTGTCAAGATGCTATGTCATTTCTTGAAAGCAGACTGTCAACAGGTGGTCCAACTTGAGCCAGGCGCAGACACAGACATTGTTTCTGAATTGCTCAAACTAGCTACTAAAGGAAATTTAGTGACTGTAATAGCTGGTGACACGGACATTATTGTTCTTTTTCTTTTCCATTTTTCCCCAGACATGGCTGACGTCTGTATGTGTTGCAAGGGAAAGAAGTCTCTGGGAAAGATGAAGAAGCTGCTCAGCATCTACGAAATTGCAGAGAAAACAAAGTCCTACGGTCTGCAAAACTTGTCAGTCATCCACGAATGGGGCAAATGTGACCCAGTGTCAGCTGTATTTAGGCATGCGGAATGTGTGATAATCAGGCTTATTCATTAATCAAAGGAGATCCAGTCTCGTTGTGCTACTTTAGCTGATGCAACTGCTTTTCCAGCCTAAGTTGCATCTGCAGGGTCACAGATTTTTGTCAAGATGTATGGAGGAAAACCAGATGATGCATTGAACTCTATAAGCTACATTGAGTATATGGAGTATGCTGCAACATCGACGAAGAAGTTATAGCCTAAAAGACTGCCTCTAACTGAACGGTCAGCTTTATTCTACAATCTCAGTGTCAATCTTCAAGTTATGGTTGCCAACTTGACCCTTGAAGCTGGGGTTAGGAAATGAAAAAAATGGTACTTTAACCCAAGTTTTTACTTATCTACATCCTGATTTTGAGGAACTACTGAAGATTGTGCATTGTACGTGCAACATTCTGTCCAAGAATCATTGTAGCACAAACATCTTCTCTTGCCAGAAACATGATCTAATGTGCATAACAGCTTACAGTGATTGTAGGGGCACCGATTACAACATTTGCCTAGCTCTACAGGAAGAGAATGAATGAGAAAACAAATCTAATTTATTTGTACATTTATTGTGATTTTATTGTCAGGCTATTTACATTGTTCTGTTTGCTATTTTTGGTGGTGGAGTTGGGAACATTTCAATACTCGTTTGTGGGAACTTATAACCTTTTTTGATGGAGCGTTATTTTCTGGGCCTAGTGTTTGAATTAAAGATTTCAAATTCTACAATTTTCCGGGGTTTTTTTTTGTACCAAGGATCACATTTTTGGCAGACATAAAAAATGTTAAAATATATACACACCTTTTTAATAAGCACCTCCATTGTCAGGATGAGTCACCAGTTTGTTTAGCAAAACAGGACTTTCAGCTTGTAATAGACCCCCTAAAGGGGTCGTGATATAAAATGGCCTGTGCGCCCCAAATAAGTATGAGTAACAAGAGGCCCACTAACATTTTAAAATAAAAGACATGAATCTGACTGGTCAACAAGCGGACAACAAACGACAGACTTAAAATTAATACAAAATTTATTTACAAAAGTAGGTGTTTGAATTAAAGGAACATGAACAAACAATAAATCAAGTAATGGAGGCAGAAGTAAGTAAATGAAAGGATACTGAACGGCTAGAAGATCTAGATAATATAACTGTGACTAAATGTTAAAAGTAGAGTTCAGGTAAATTAATGGCATGAAAAAGCAAAGTTCGAAAGTTCAGTTCATATGTCCGGCGAAGGTGCTGAATAGTTGCTTAAGTTGGTTAAGTCCAATGATGAACCTTCCATAGTATTTAACCAAAGTGTATGGAATGGGTTGGTTGAAGTCTGGACAATATAGCCAAGGTGAAAAAAGTTCAATTTAAATGTCTGGTGCTGGTGTTGAGTCGTGGTTGGTTGAGTTCAATGGTGAACCTTCCGTAATATTTAACCCAAGTGTACAAAATAGGTGTTGAGGCATGGGCAATATGCATGCAGCAACTTCCTAAATCAGGTGAGTTAGGTTGACAGGAAACTCCGGAAGTTGATAGCTGAAGCAAAGCTGAAATATCTGTACTGTCCAGTGTAGGCATTGATGAAATCCATGATAAAGCAGCGGAAAAATATTAGCCAATGTTGCGTCAATGTCCGGGTAGTTTGCTGCTAAAGTTCAATGATAAACCTTCCATAGTATTTAACTGATGTGTACGGTTGTTTGAAATCGGGATGATATGCATGCAGCAACTTCCTAAACCAGGTGAGTTAGGTTAACAGGAAAACCGGAAGTTCAGGGTTGTTGTAAGTAGGCCCATTAACGCAGATCAACCAGGTGAGTTAGGTTGAAGTAAGAACGCCAAAATGGCCTCTCCATATGTCGCTGGAAGTTAAGAGCTATGTAAATCTAGAAAAGCCTGCAGTAAGGGGGCTGTTGCAGCCATTGTATGAACAGGTCTAGTAATGCTAGTAGTAGTAGTAGTAGTAGTAGTAGAGGATTTGGGCTATTGCAAATAATGGAACAAAAGCCGGAAGTAGAAAGTTGATGTGGCCGGAAGTATGCGCAGATCGGAAACAGCGGAAGTAAAATAAGAAATGCTGGAAGTTAAGAGGCTGTGGTAGGCAAAAATTATAAAGGCCAGTAATGCCAGAAATAAGAGTTTGTGGTAGCCAGAAATAATAAAGGGCAACGGTGTCAGAAGTAACAGAAACAGGAGAGGACAGGAAAGCCCAACTAGCATCCAGTTGGAAGAACAAAAGCAAATGGACACGTAAGTCAATACATAACCCGTCCAGTCCCTCTGATCACAAAGATCAGGGTGCTTGCATTTCACCTCCTTCTCGCTATTTACCAACCTCACCACAAGGCAAGGTGTGGCACAGTGCCAGTTTTTAACGTGGAGCGTTCCAAGCCCATAGGCTTGCGAAAAAATTTCCCGTAGACACTGTATACACAGGGTCAGGTTTGTCTATCCCCCCAAACGAGACTCTGACCTTTGGCATAGCCTTGTCCCTCTCTACCTGAAGGCAGAGGTTTCGACAAGAAAGGAAGAGAAAGCCTCCTTCATGTCCTCCTTGAGTCGTGAAAAACTGCGAGTGTATATGGCAAGGGTGTATAGTAACATCTCTAGGGGTTGCTCGGTACTTAAAATCAAAAGAAAATAAATCCCGAGTTGTTATGAATATTATACAATGTTCTCTAAGAGTATGTAGATTATATTAGAAATAATCAAGCGACTAAATAAAAATTAGGCTGATAATAAATCTAAATAGACTTGTTAACGGGATAGAAGAAAGTGGGTGACGCAATGAAGAAAACAGGCAAGGTCATGAAAACGTATAATGCCCGCCCTTGACCATGTGAACGGAGTAGCGAAGGAGCTATGATAAGCTTGATGGAATATTTCGTACCTACCTGTCACCCCTCCGGGAAAATGCATTTTTCACGCATAATCACCTCTTAACCAATCAGCATCTTAGTTTCAGCAAACTAGGTTTTTCATTGGCTGAGACCATAAAACTGTAGCAAGTTTGAGCAAAAATACCTTTTCCTGCGTACTGCTTTTGGAGCCGATTCTGAGACCAAAAACTCAATAAATAGAAGCGTTTCGAGAGAGATGCTAAAAAAATCCACGCAAGCCAAAACTTTGACCTAACTACACTTTTCGCGTGCTAATTCTTCTGATTCGACAAACAGTACTTCGCTCTCTCAGGAACATTACTTACAACATACTAAAGAAAGTGAATTGACCTACTACTAAACAGTATTTGTAAATCTCAATCCAACATCAAAACAGCTAAAGGTACACAAAACTTACAAACTTTGAACAGTAACTTTAACAAACCCACACATACACACACGTGACTGAACTCCCACAAAAGACATTTTGTAATACGATAAAACATCTTGTTTAATTTCATACACAAATCCTAACCACAAGCCTACACACATTGAAACTCAGCATAATTCTTCTACATATTTTATTACAACTGGTCGGACTTGATCAGCAATATCTATCTTGATTGTGTATGTTTAATTGATATAAAATGAATGTTATTTGTTAAACCTTCAATCACGTTGTCGTCATTTTTGATTCCTCCTGAATGATTTTACCTTTCAATGTTCTTATTTTTATATTTGTTGTGGATGAATTTCTTGTGAACACCTACATTTCTAAGCCTTCTAATAACCTAACCTTTTGGTACACAAAATACATTCGCCAATCCGCAACAAAATTGGTAACCCCGACGTTCAAAACACAGCAACCAAAAGGAAAAATTGATAACCCTAGCCTCTACGCATAACGAAAATTGATCCAACACAAGCATCGAGACTGCAATCATTCTTTCCGCGCGAAACCTATTTCTTTTTTCCCCTCCAAAAATTACGCTGAATCAACATGGCTGAACCAATTCCCCAGACTGAGGCTGCAATCAAACTGGAAATGCCTCCATACAATTCTAACGCACAAACGTGGTTTATACAGCTTGATGCGATCCCTCCAGGTTCGACACATTACATCGCAGCAATCGAAGTTTGCCTTCGTCGTAGAAAAATTACCTGCAGAGGTGGCTGCAGAAATAGCGGACATTCTCACTAGCCTCCCGCCTGATAAACTATATGAAATACTCAGGCAAGCTATATTTCACCGCGCGGTTTGTTCAGAAGAACGTAGAATAAAGGATCTTCTGACTAATTTAACCTTAAGAACAAACAAACCATCTCAACTCTTGTGCCAAATGCAATCTTTACTCGGCAAAGATGCCATGTTTTGAGACAGATGTGGCTGGATAAATTACAACCTGAAGTTGTACGGATATTAGCCGCGCTCACCAACGAGGTCGACATCCAGAAGTTAGCAGTGATTGCCGATAAAACATCAGACACCGGACCAATTCGGCAAGTTTCCTTTGTAAGCCCATCAGACGACCTTACTCTAGATACCAATCAACAGTTACAATTTCTGACATCGGAGCTAAAGAAACTCTCCTTACGGCTTGATGAACTTCAAAACAAGCCTAAAAGAAGTCGGAGCAATTCAGTTGCCCGACACAATAATCGTAGACCACGATCAGCGTCGCGACGCCCCCGTCACTCTCAACATGGTAATTGCTGGTACCACGAGGTGTTTGGCTCGCGCACTAAGAAGTTCCAGCCGCCATGTGCCTTCCAAAACACGTTCCCAACAGGGAAACGGCCAGCCTGGCAACCATTAGAGACGTTGGCTGCCAGGGCTGACAATAAAAATCGCCTGTTTTACATTTGTGACTAACAGCAACCTTAATCTTTTGGTCGACACGGGTGCGTCATACCGCTAAAAAATTGTGACAGATCGATAATATCATCTTAGGAAACTTCATTAAAATTGCAGGCAGCTAATGGCACGTCAATTAACACCTATGGCGAGCGAGTCATGTCCCTCAACATTGGCCTACGAATGCAATTCATCTGGACTTTCACAATCGCCGATGTTGCAATGCCAATCCGAGGCGCAGATTTTTCGGCACACTTTCATTTATTCTTCGACTTAATTTCGCGTACGCTTACCGACGCGCGTACGAATCCGCAGCGCCGCGGATTAACATTAAGGCTCTCTACAATTGGTCTGACAGCTGTGATAGCCAAGGCAAATGTGTATGAGAACTTATTACAAAAATACAAGTTATTATTATCACCATTTACATATGCAGAGCCTATCAGGCATAATGCCACTCATGCCATAAAAACGACTGGACCCCCAGCACATGCCCAACCGCGTCGTCTAAACCCTAACAAACTGCGGGTAGCTAAGGACGAATTTGAACATAGGCTCAAACTGGGCATAATCAAACCGTCCTCTAGTCCTTACGCTACACCACTCCGCATGGTCCCGTGCGGGGATTATAGGCTATTAAATGCCCAAACCATCCCGGACAAATATCCAATCCCCCACATCAAAGATTTTGCTCTATCGCTGGAAGGCGCCATGGTTTTTACAAATTTGGACCTGCGGAAAGCGTTTTATCGGATTCCGATCGAGCCAACCGACATCCCAAAGACAGCAATAACAACTTCCTTTGGCCTATATGAGTTTACCAGAATGTCCTTCGGTTTGCGCAACGCAGCTCAGTCTTTCCAAAGACTCATCGATGAAGTTCTTCGCGGACTGTCCTATACTTACGCTTATATCGATGATGTCCTGATAGCCAGCAAAACACATGAAGAACACTACTACCATCTTCAGACAGTTTTTCAACGCCTACAACATTACGGCTTAAAGTTAAACGTTGAGAAATGTCTATTCGCTGTCCGTAGCCTGACTTTTCTTGGCCACATAATCGACAACCACGGGTTAACTCCCTTGAACCAAATCAGTAAAAGCTATTACTGATTTTCCACCACCTTCAATCTTACGTCAACTTAGAAGATTTCTAGGAATGATAAACTACTATCGTCAATTCATCAACAATTGCGCTAGCATACCTTTAACTTTAACGAATCTCTTATCTAAGCATAAAAACAAGAACCCAAAACTTACTTTGTCCGTAGATGAGATGGATTCCTTCAATGTTGCTAAGCAAGCATTACAGAATTGTGTCAAATTATCATATATAATATCCTCAGATGACGCAAAACTGACTCTGACCACTGACGCATCGTCTAACTCGGTCGGTGCAGTCCTCCACCAAATTATTAACGGAATTGAGAAGCCGCTGTCATTCTTTTCTGTTAAGCTCAACTTGGCACAGTTGAAGTATAGTACCTTCTCACGCGAGCTGTTGGCAGTCTACTTAGCCATCAGGCATTATCGTCACATACTAGAAGGACGTGACTTCACAATAGTTACAGATCACAAACCATTGACGTATGCTCTGCACGCGAGATCCGAGGAGCATAACCATCGTGACAATCGCTATATGGACTATATAGGGTAATTTACCTCGGATATCCGCTACGTCAAAGGCACCAGCAACACAGTGGCCAATGCGTTATCTCGCACAACCCTCAATACTATTCAACCTACTACACTCAATTTTGACTCCTTAGCAGACGAACAGCTGAGTGACGAAAGATTACCAGCTGTCCGATACAGACTGAAAAAAGACCACTTCCGTTTACAGATAAGTCTGTATACTGTGACGTCAGCACGGGCAATCCACGCCCTTAGATACCGCCAACAATGCGACGTCCAATATTTGATCACTTTCATTCTCAAGCTCACCCGGGTGCTAAGGCAACGTTGCGGACCATATCGGATATATGGCAACTGATATTAAACAGTGGTCCCGCACGTGCCTACGTTGCCAAGCAACCAAAGTCGACAGATACACCAAAGGGCCTGAATCAACTTTTCCCAATCCTGATAGACGATTCACCCACCTGCACGCTGATTTAGAGCGTGTAGACGGCTACGAATATATACTCATCATAATAGACCGCTTCACGCGCTGGCCAGTAGCCATACCTCTCCCATCAATAACAGCTGAAGCAGTGGCGAACGCAATTTTTACTCACTGGATTGCCGTTTTTGGATACCCTTCGGTAATTACCACTGATAGGGCTCCGCAGTTCCAGTCCACGGCGAGTTTACTAATTTATTGGGAATCAAGCACATCTCTACCACGGCGTAACACCCTTGTGCCAACGGCCTGGTGGAAAGGTTCTAGAGACAACTCAAATATGCGCTCACAGCATCTACAAACGGCCGCACTTGGGTAGACAAACTGCCTTTTGTTATGCTCGCTTTGCGTAACACTGTCAAACCAGATCTGAAATGCACCAGTGCAGAATTAGTCTTCGGGACACCCTTAAGTTTGCCCGGACAAATTTTCAACACTATCACTGATGATCTTCCTTCCAGTCATTTTGTCAGCGACCTCAAACAGAAAATGACTGACATCATTTACACCCCAACACGGGCATATCAAAAACCTTATTACGTTCCTGCAGACCTGCACCAAGCAGAGTATGTTTTTCTCCGCAGAGATACGGTCGGTAAGTCTCTCACACCTAATTATACAGGACCACACCGGGTCATCTCTCGGACATCAAAATACTTTGTCATAGACCTTGCGGGGAAGCATAACACGGTCAGCATCGAGCGATTGAAACCTGCATATATACATCATGATGGCAAGCCTTTGACCACTCCTCATAAAACACATTCAGAATCTTCTTGCACACAACCATTTTCAGCAGCTGATTCAGAAGCAAATCCACGTACCTGTACCAGGTCGAGTAGGCACGTTCATTGACCTGCTAAATTCAAAGTGTCTTTTACATATTAATACTCATAATGCTATGACTATTAATCTCGAGGGGAGGGGGTATTTCATGGAATATTCCATACCTACCTGTCACCCCTCCGAGATAATGCATTTTTCACGCATAATCACCTCTTAACCAATCAGCATCTTAGTTTCAGCAAACTAGGTTTTTCATTGGCTGAGACCATAAAACTGTAGCAAATTTGAGTAAAAATACCTTTTCCCGCGTACTGCCTTTGGAGCCGATTCTGAGACCACAAACTCAATAAATAGAAGCGTTTTTATTCGATTCAAACAGTCAGAACTTCAACCCTGGAGAGATGCTAAAAAAATCCACGCAAGCCAAAACTTAACCTAACTACACTTTTCGCGTACTAACTCGACAAACAGTATTTCGCTCTCTCAGAAACATTGCTTACAACATACTAAAGTGAATTGACCCACTACTAAACAGTATTTGTAAATCTCAATCCAACATCAAAACAGCTAAAGGTACCCAAACCTTACAAACTTTGAACAGTAACTTTAACAAACGCACACATGCACACAAGTGACTGAACTCCCACAAAAGACATTTTGTAATACGATAAAACATCTTGTTTAATTTCATACACAAATCCTAACCACAAGCCTACACACATTGAAACTCAGCATAATCCTTCTACATATTTTATTACAACTGGTTGCACTTGATCAGCAATATCTATCTTGATTGTGCATGTTCAATTGATATAAAATGAATGTTATTTGTTAAACCTTTAATCACGCTGTCCTCATTTTTGATTCCTCTTGAATGATTTTACCTTTCAACGTTCTTATTTTTATATTTGTTGTGGATGAATGTCTTGTGAACATCTACATTTCTAAGCCTTCTAATAACCTAACCTTTTGATACACAAAATACATTCGCCAATCTGCAACAAAATTTGTAACCCCGACGTTCAAATCTGCACGCAGCAACCAAAATCAAAAATTGATAACCCTAGCCTCTACGCATAACGAAAACTGATCAAGCACAAGCATCTGCAATCATTTTTTCCGCGCAAAACCTATTTCTTTTTTTCCCTTCCAAAAATCACGCTGAATCAACATGGCTGAACCAATTTCTCCAGACTGAGGCTGCAATCAAACTGGAAATGCCTCCATACAATTCTAACGCACAAACGTGGTTTATACAGCTTGATGCGATACCTCCAGGTTAGACACATTACATCGCAGCAATCGAAGTTTGCCTTCGTTGTAGAAAAATTACCTGCAGAGGTGGCTGCAGAAATAGCGGACATTCTCACTAGCCTCCCGCCTGATTACACTAAATGAAATACTCAGGCAAGCCATATTACGCCGCACGGGTTGTTCAGATCCGTAACAAGCTGCTCAGTTGTTTGCTTGATGTAATGAGTTATTTCTATGTATTTGTTTTCTTCATTCTCTAGTCATACCTTGGTTGTAGCATACAAGATCGTTAAGACTTCTTTGAACACGTCTACTGTTTAACTGACCAAACTGCTAAAAAGGAAGAGGTCAAAGTGAAGATAAAATTATGTTCCCAATTTGTATTAACATCACTTATAACCAGTCAAATTTTCATATTCTAAGCATTGGTGGTTCCTGAGATATAAAACTTCCTTACTTTGTTGTTTGATCTTCAAAATATACAGATATTACGTGACCATCTTGAAAAAAAGATCCATACAGTGGAGAGCAAGGTCTGAGAGCAACATACGGGCTGATCGGAAATATTCTAAAATATTTGTCTGACTGTCACCTCTCTCTTTCCATCTCTCCTTGCAGATGATTTTATTTGTTAAATTCAATTTGACAGCCCAAATTGTGAGTGTTTGGTTAGTATTTCATTCACTAGGTGGCATATAAAGCTGGTAGTTTATTGTTTTGTGTCTTATCTTATGTTATTTACTGTTTCACCGCTATAGAAATGGCTACTGATCTATGCCAACTGATAATGCTGAAATATGGCTACAGTTTACTTCAGGTTCATTATTTTAGATTTGGTTTGCAAATTATCCCCCATAACTAAATTTCCCCGGGTGATCCAAATGAAGATTTTTCAATTTTCAAAAGAGGAGACCGTAACATTTCTAAAAAATATACCATATTTAGCTTAGTATTTATCGATCCACCCACGAGGATAGAATGTGGCACAAGGCCGGTTTAATGTGTGTATCCCCGAGCCCGTAGGCTCGGCCAAAAATATAGCCTTTTTGAAAACCCGCCTAGACGGATTCAGGCCCTGTCTACCTTCGGCAAAGCTTCGTCCGGGTTCCTCTCTGCTAATACAGAGAGTTCGACAGACGCCGACTCGGAAGCTCACAAAGGCAGCGTACTACACTTTGATCCTAGCCTCCGGGCCGAGCATACCATATTTAGCTTGGTAACATTTTTTTTCGGTGAACATTGATATCGGCCATTGATATACGGGATACATGCTCTAGCGATCATGTCTCTTTCGATCCGTGACTGTATATGTTGCCATTACTTTCTGCGGTAGATTGATTGCCAACCAATGCTATAGAACCCAATAAGAGATGGATTCATTTCCGAAAGATATTTGCGCGTAAGTGAAAGTAATAAACTCGACTGGAATTCGACACTGCTCCTATTTCTCATCCTATTATACACAAATTATCCCCCATAACTAAATTTCCCTGGATAGTTCAAACGATGACTTTTCAATTTACAAAGGAGAAGACCATAATCTTTCAAATAAACAATATTTAGTTTCATAAAATGTTTTCCTGGTGAACAATGATATCGACCAGACTATAATCTATCAGTTTGTAACTACTGTCATAATGACAGGCAGTTTTTTTAATTGACAGGATGTACCTACTTTGTTGTTTATGAGAATATTTTTCAACACGTTAACATGTTTAAATCCTCATAGTATTTAGTATTGTTGAAGTTATCGCTAACATTTCTGTTGAGATTTACAAACTCTAAGTTTCGTTCACTTTGGGCATATCAATCCATGAAATTTGAATAAGCTGATTTGTTAGGAAAAATACATTGACAAAAGCCCTAATTTGAAGTTTAATGATTTTTTAATTTAATTTAATTTTATAGGACTTCATGATAAACAATAATTTTTAAAAAATTGTTTTTTTTTCTTTTTAACAGTGAAGAATAAATTCTTAGGATTTTTTACTCTTGAGCATGCAACATGTGTAAATATTTCTTTCTGGAGTCAAATTCCAACTTTTTCAAGTGTTTGGCCTTGTGATTTGTTTATCATTCAAGCAAACGCAGGGTGATTCTTGTATATATAAAAAAATTAAAGATATGCAAAAAAACCAATGTTGCATTATTATTAAATAATACACATGTAACTCGTAGGATTACCCCCACTTGGTTGCCAAGACACCGTTACGTGACACTATTAAACAGCTATAAAAATAGTATACTTCCTATTTCTTTCTCTCTTTTTTCTTTCCTTTCATAGTGTTGTCACTTTCTCACATACATTCATTCACATACAACTCCTAATAGCTACATTCTAATGTCTTCTTTCTTTTAAGCTATTTTTGCATGTTTATTTTCTTTCTTTTAAAAAATACTCGGGTTCATTGAATTGTATTAAGCTTTTCCATTTATGATAACTACATATAGTTTTTAATTTCATAAAATTATCACTTGACTGCTACAAAATACAGACATTTAAAAGATTTAAAAGTTTATAGAATTATAGTAAAAGTTTATAGAATTGTTTTCATTTCTTAAAAAATTTTATTAGAATAATCTAATAATTTTTTTTCAGAAATTAAAACAATTCTTGTAAAAATTAATTATTCATCAAAAAATTGTTTTCATAAGACAATAGTGTTCATAATATGTTTTATTCATGAAAGCAATTAAAAATTTTTCTAATTACATAATATCTTAGTTTTATTGCATTTTTTATTTCATGATTCAGGGCAGAATTTCAGCAACTAGGTGTCCTTTTTGATCAAAAGATTTTTCTGATTTAAATTCTCCTTATAACAAATATAAGCATTAAGGTATATAAAAAAAAGAATTTCATAAAATCTAAATAAGTTATGGGGAGCGAGTAATAAATTTACTGATACATATTAATTTTGAAGATCTTCCAATAACTTCCTCCTGGATCACCACGTACAAAAATGCGCTTACCATTGTTCTTAGTTGTGAATTTATCTTCCTCTACTAATTTAGTCACGCGCACCATTATCTGAACCGCTCCTTTTATTTTTTCGTAGTTCTTTAAGACCCACAGCCTCCTGTTGTCAAGAGAAAACCATTGCTGTTTATACCAGCATACAGTTATTTGAGGGATATCTTTAATCTGGATTCTATTACATAAAAGGTCATCAAGTGTTTCACCAAGTTTTACGCCTCCATGACGTCCCTTTTCATAAAAAGTGGTAGCAATTGAGTCCTGTGTGTAATGAATTTCAGAAGGTGAGAGTTTTTTGCAGCCAGTCAATAAATCAGTATTAATTTCACTGGAATATCTATTTTCTTGAGCATAAACTTGCCTTTGTTCTGGTTTTCTCAAATTGCATTCAAATTGTCGCTTTCTGTGTTCATAAATTCTTTCATTCGGATCACTTTCGGTTCTTATATGTGTATTTGTTGCATATTGCCGTTGTGGTGGGGATGAAATTTCACTGTTATTTTCCTCTCCAGTGAAAAATGACAGTAAACCTCCCATGTCAGCAAATTAAAAAGGTCTAAGTTTTCTGTAGATTGTTGTTAATATGAAGATAATTCAGATGTTCTTTGTGGTATTGCTTCTTAGATGAATTTCCCCATGAAAATTGTTGCAATTCAACAGGATGCTCTTGAAAGGCTGTTTCCTTATTTCCAAAAATGGAGAAAAATAAACAAGAATTAGTATGAAAAAGATAACAGGGATTAATAAGAAAAAGAAAAGAATTCATAGAAAAAAAAAAAAGAAATTATGAGAACATGACAAGAATTAACTTATGAATTCTTTATTTGCCTATGTTTCTGAGATGAGGTATTGTAATTATTTACACTATTTATATTGCTCAGACTGTTGCTCTCATCTTTGTTTCCATATTCATCAGTTTCATCTGGCCTTCATCAGATGATAGTAAAGAGAAATAACTGATACCCAGAATAGGCATGACAAATGGAACTAGAACAATCTATCCTGGTGGACGAAATAAAGGGTTTGGTTCAAAATTCCAATCACCTGAGGAAAGTCGGAGTACTCCTTCCATGTCTACTGAACAGGCTCATCCTTTGTTCCCTGATCAGGATAGGGTTTACCGGTTACATCTTTCTTCTACCAGAGCCACAATGATTTAACTGTCTTAACTTTTTGGTGATCAGATTAACAAGTGGCTGTGACTTTCCATTGTGATGGTACTAGGTTAGCAGTTTGTTTGCTGTAGCTTCCAACTGGTTGATAAGAGCCTGAACCCTTTGGTAGTGCTTAGAGAGGGTGCATTGATCAACAGTCGCATAATGTCGGGGTATCTGTAGTGCCATGTCATGCATAGGTAGGTGTCCCTGCCTGAGACCACATTATGCTCTCTTCTCAGCCACACATTGGCTGGTTTGTATTGGCATTGGGAACAGTAACAATTATGGTTGTCTTTTTTCTCTCTTCTCAAAACATATCTAATAGAAATCACAGCAGAAAGAAATACTAAACCAGCAAACAAAAGACCACATATCCCTCCTCAATCTTTCTCCAATCCAATATTCGTGGTATCCATTCCAACTTCTGCAGCAGAGAATCTTTTCTCCTGAAACAGTCGCCAGATATCATTGCCCTTTGTGAAACCAACTTGAATTCTTCCATTGCTACCAATGAATTCTTGGTTCCAGTCTATCTTCACTTTGCCAAAAAGATTCCAGCATTCACATGCATGGCCTTGATGTCTAAATCCAATATAATCTTCCGATGGCCAGGGAATTGTCTCTCAAGGTCATTGAATATTCATGTGTTTTTGTCTTTCACTACTAAACTCTGTTAGCTAGCTCTTTTCTCGTTTATCACTCCCCCTCTTCTCAGAACTGCAGTATATTAGACATAATAGCCGACACTATAGAAAAGGGTCTTTTTCTCCATCCACCTGCGAACATCTTTGTCTTCGGTGACTTTAATGCTCACCATGACATGTGACTTTAACATTCTAAAGCTACTAATGTTGCCGGTATTCAGGCATTAAATTTTTCCATTGCCCAATCCCTTACTCAAATTGTGGACTTCCCTACTCATTTCCCTAGCAAAATCAAGCAACAAGCTTCTCTACTCGATTTTTTTCTTACCTGCTTTTGGTAACTTGGACCACTCCGTGATATCTATTGATATTTCGTTCCAATCATCTATTAAATAGGAACTCCCTATTCATAAGACCACTTTCCGGGACTCAATCCACGATTTTCTTTGTGACACTGCATGGACTGACATATTCATTCTCCCAATTGAAAATTGCAGAACAGAGGTTTCTTCTTGGGTCAAAGCCTCATGGATGCTTTCATCCCCCCCCCCCTGGAAATATCAGGTGAAACTTTAATCGTTTCCTACATGGTTCACACCAGCATACTCGGCCGCTATAGCACATAGGGAGCACTATTTTCGGCTATACCGGTGTGACAGCTCTCATCATAACAGGTGTCTATTTATTACTGCTTGTAATAAATGTAAGCGAGTCCCTGCTTGCCGAGAGAATGAAGCCCTGTATAGCATCTAACAACTTCGGCTCCCGTGATTACTGACTACTTTGTAATAGGGTATTAAATAAGTGCAAGGTCTCTATTGCTCACCTCTTCAATCAATTTAAGGTATTATCATCCTCTGTGGATAAAGCTGAATGTTTTGCCCATAAATTCTCCTCAAACTTTAATCTTGACTCATCTGGAGAATTCCTGACTAACTTCCCTCTTAGAACTGAATCTCTGTTAAGTGATATGCATATAACCCCTTCTATAGTTTCTGCTATCATTTCTAACCTTGATCCACACAAAGTATGTGAATTCCATGGTGTCCCTGTAATAGTCATTAAGAAGTGTGCTCCTGAACTGACTCCTGTTCTCTCAAAACTATATAATAAATGCCTCGCTGCCTCTTGCTTTCCTGCCTACTGGAAGTCAACATCTGTTGTTCCTGTTGAATTCTGTTGAACCGTCTGACTCATCCAAATAGTGGTCTATCAGCCTTCTACTTCTTTTTAGGTAACTTCTAGAGGCCATAATCAATGCCAAATTAGTTCATCATCAGCAGGGCCTTTTTTCAGACAAGCAATACACTATTTGTTTCTCCAGATCAACTGCTGATGTCCTGATGATAATTGTGGAAAGAATCTGTCATGCTTTAGATAAAAACACTGAAGCCTGGGATGTAGCATTGGACATTTTAAAAGCCTTTGACAGGGTCTGGTATACAGGTCTTCTCCATAAGCAGAAAGGTTACAGTATCTCTGGGCACATTTTTGAGCTGATCCAGTCTTTCTTATAAAATTGTATAATGAAAGTTATCCTCAATGGACACTCATCTAGATATTTTTGTAGGGCTCCATCCTTGATCCTACGCTGTTTTTAATTTTCATTAATGACCTTCCTGATGACATCAGCTCTTAACTTGGCATCTACACTGATGACACAAACATTTACTCCTGCTTCGATAGTAAGGCTGATCAGTCCGTCAAGGTCAAAATGTCCAAAATGACCTCAAGACCATCGTTAAATGGTACAAAAGTTGGCTTGTCAATTTTAACGCCTTCAAAACTAAACTTCTCTCCATTAATCATCTGATAGACCCCTCTCTTCCTTCCATCAGCATGGCTGATGCTAACCTCCAGAAAAGTGACACGCTGCACCTTCTCAGGCTCATGTTCTCTGCTCATATGAAGTGGAAAAACTATATTGAATCCATTGCTAGGTCAGCTGCTAAGAAAGTCAGTTCACTATGATGTCAGGTGAAACAATTTTTTACTCCAGAATCTATCTTACATATCTATAAGTCTACCATTTGTCTATGATTAGAATATTGCTGCCATGTTTGGTCTGGTGACTCTGCTGTTTACATTAAGCTCCTTGATGAGATCCAAAGAAGAATCAGCAATATGAGTGGTCTTGATCTGGCAGCTAGACATCAGTCACTTGTCCTTCACCTTAAGGTTGCCTCTCTGTGCCTTTTTTATAAATACTTTTATGGTAATTGTTCAGATGAGCTCTTCGCTATGGTACCTAAAATTTATAACTTTAAGTGCAGTACTAGACTGGTGTTGAGATCTCATCAATTTAGTTGAGCCGATTAGATGTAGCTGTAGGTTCAATGTTAACAGTTTCTTTTCTCGCACTTTTCACTCGTGGAATTCCCTTCAGGCTCCATGCTCTCCAGCCAACTTTAATCAGCAAAAATTTAAATGCAATGTCAATTGCTATCAACTATCCTCCTGATTACACTTTTCTCTTTCTGCTCATTATTCATGTTTCTGCTTCTAATTCTTTCACACCCTATAATCCTTTGTGTTTTAGTGGCTGTACTGCCTTGTGTGGGGTTGATACTGATAAAAAAAAAAACAACAACAAAAAAAAATCATGTGACAAGATTTAATGCCAAGTTTGTAAATGTTATAATAACGTGGTAGAGATATATACAACCCATATGTAAGAAACAAATATTGTTAAACTAAACATCAAATTTCGAACTGAACCCTTTATTTCGCTCACTGGGGTAGACTGTTCTAGTTTCACGTGCCATGTTTGATGGATGTCAGTATCAGTTATCTCCTCATCAGCTATCCACTGTGCCATGTGTCCTTGAGGACACATAGCACAGTGGATAAAGGCGTTGGTTAGATCCAGTGACAGGACCCAAAGAGTGTGAGTTCAATACCCAGTTAAGGCAGTGGAGAACTTTCAGAGGGAAATTAACAGGAGATAACTGATAACTGACATCCATCAAACATGGCACGTGGGACTAGAACAGTCTACCCCAGTGAGTGAAATAAAGGGTTCAGTTCGACATTCCAACCACCTGAAGAAGGCCGGAGCATACAACGACCGAAATGTTCTAAAAAATATGGCGACAAAGATGAGGGCAATAGTCCGAAAAATGCAAATAATGTACATAATATCTCATCTCAGAAATATAGACAGACTCTAAACATCAAATATTGACTTTATTGTTCAATAACTATGAAACATTTTTTAATATATTTTCAAATACATTTTTAATTTTTTTCAAAATAATAACAGATTTGTGTGGACTGCGGATGCTTTTTTGGTTCCTTTTTCTCTGAGAAAACGCTTTAGATGAAGTCAGCTATTCTTGATTGTTTGAGCAGGAACTAAAGATTCATTTAAATCAACAAAATTATTTTCATGAATTCTAGACCTCCAATTTTATTATCACCACTGCTTTTTTTGTTTTTGTTTATTCAGTGAAAATCCCTACAAAATATGAACCAGTCAACTATTGTCTGCTTCGAGTAACTGTAGGCACTCAAAATCAACCACTCGGGATATCTTTTAGTCCATAAGTGTATTAACAAAATTATTTTCAAAATGTTCATTTTCTGAAAGATATATTTTTGTTTTCCTAAAGCTGGTTATAGGACATCCCAAAATACATCTAGATTTTGCAGATTTTACGTCATTCTGGGGTCTTTTTAGTTCTTTGTCCAAATCCATATTTTGCTCATGTTAAGTTTAAAAAACAAAAAAAAAAAAAAACACTATATAAAGTTCCCTATTTTTTATCTGTAATGTTGAATGTGTTAAAATTATTCAACTTTTTAACAAGAAAACAGAAAAATCTTCCATCTTAACTAAATCAACAATCTATTATGACATCTCACAAATTTGTATTTAGATG